TGAGTTCTAGTCCCGCCTTAGGCATGAAAATGGGGGTGACTTTGGGCCAGTCACAGGGAGATGGTGAGTTCTAGTCCCGCCTTAGGCATGAAAATGGCTGGGTGACTTTGGGCCAGTCACAGGGAGATGGTGAGTTCTAGTCCCGCCTTAGGCATGAAAATGGCTGGGTGACTTTGGGCCAGTCACAGGGAGATGGTGAGTTCTAGTCCCGCCTTAGGCATGAAAATGGCGGGGTGACTTTGGGCCAGTCACAGGGAGATGGTGAGTTCTAGTCCCGCCTTAGGCATGAAAATGGCGGGGTGACTTTGGGCCAGTCACAGGGAGATGGTGAGTTCTAGTCCCGCCTTAGGCATGAAAATGGCTGGGTGACTTTGGGCCAGTCAGAGGGAGATGGTGAGTTCTAGTCCCGCCTTAGGCATGAAAATGGCTGGGTGACTTTGGGCCAGTCACAGGGAGATGGTGAGTTCTAGTCCCGCCTTAGGCATGAAAATGGCGGGGTGACTTTGGGCCAGTCACAGGGAGATGGTGAGTTCTAGTCCCGCCTTAGGCATGAAAATGGCGGGGTGACTTTGGGCCAGTCACAGGGAGATGGTGAGTTCTAGTCCCGCCTTAGGCATGAAAATGGCGGGGTGACTTTGGGCCAGTCACAGGGAGATGGTGAGTTCTAGTCCCGCCTTAGGCATGAAAATGGCGGGGTGACTTTGGGCCAGTCAGAGGGAGATGGTGAGTTCTAGTCCCGCCTTAGGCATGAAAATGGCTGGGTGACTTTGGGCCAGTCACAGGGAGATGGTGAGTTCTAGTCCCGCCTTAGGCATGAAAATGGCTGGGTGACTTTGGGCCAGTCACAGGGAGATGGTGAGTTCTAGTCCCGCCTTAGGCATGAAAATGGCTGGGTGACTTTGGGCCAGTCACAGGGAGATGGTGAGTTCTAGTCCCGCCTTAGGCATGAAAATGGCTGGGTGACTTTGGGCCAGTCACAGGGAGATGGTGAGTTCTAGTCCCGCCTTAGGCATGAAAATGGCTGGGTGACTTTGGGCCAGTCAGAGGGAGATGGTGAGTTCTAGTCCCGCCTTAGGCATGAAAATGGCTGGGTGACTTTGGGCCAGTCACAGGGAGATGGTGAGTTCTAGTCCCGCCTTAGGCATGAAAATGGCGGGGTGACTTTGGGCCAGTCACAGGGAGATGGTGAGTTCTAGTCCCGCCTTAGGCATGAAAATGGCGGGGTGACTTTGGGCCAGTCACAGGGAGATGGTGAGTTCTAGTCCCGCCTTAGGCATGAAAATGGCTGGGTGACTTTGGGCCAGTCAGAGGGAGATGGTGAGTTCTAGTCCCGCCTTAGGCATGAAAATGGCTGGGTGACTTTGGGCCAGTCACAGGGAGATGGTGAGTTCTAGTCCCGCCTTAGGCATGAAAATGGCGGGGTGACTTTGGGCCAGTCAGAGGGAGATGGTGAGTTCTAGTCCCGCCTTAGGCATGAAAATGGCTGGGTGACTTTGGGCCAGTCACAGGGAGATGGTGAGTTCTAGTCCCGCCTTAGGCATGAAAATGGCTGGGTGACTTTGGGCCAGTCACAGGGAGATGGTGAGTTCTAGTCCCGCCTTAGGCATGAAAATGGCTGGGTGACTTTGGGCCAGTCACAGGGAGATGGTGAGTTCTAGTCCCGCCTTAGGCATGAAAATGGCTGGGTGACTTTGGGCCAGTCACAGGGAGATGGTGAGTTCTAGTCCCGCCTTAGGCATGAAAATGGCGGGGTGACTTTGGGCCAGTCACAGGGAGATGGTGAGTTCTAGTCCCGCCTTAGGCATGAAAATGGCGGGGTGACTTTGGGCCAGTCACAGGGAGATGGTGAGTTCTAGTCCCGCCTTAGGCATGAAAATGGCTGGGTGACTTTGGGCCAGTCACAGGGAGATGGTGAGTTCTAGTCCCGCCTTAGGCATGAAAACTGGCTGGGTGACTTTGGGCCAGTCACAGGGAGATGGTGAGTTCTAGTCCCGCCTTAAGTATGAAAACTGGCTGGGTGGGCCAAATCAACAGTGATGGTGAGTTCTAGTCCCGCCTTAGGCATGAAAATGGCTGGGTGACTTTGGGCCAGTCACAGGGAGATGGTGAGTTCTAGTCCCGCCTTAGGCATGAAAATGGCTGGGTGACTTTGGGCCAGTCAGAGGGAGATGGTGAGTTCTAGTCCCGCCTTAGGCATGAAAATGGCTGGGTGACTTTGGGCCAGTCACAGGGAGATGGTGAGTTCTAGTCCCGCCTTAGGCATGAAAATGGCTTGGGTGACTTTGGGCCAGTCACAGGGAGATGGTGAGTTCTAGTCCCGCCTTAGGCATGAAAATGGCTGGGTGACTTTGGGCAGTCACAGGGAGATGGTGAGTTCTAGTCCCGCCTTAGGCATGAAAATGGCTGGGTGACTTTGGGCCAGTCACAGGGAGATGGTGAGTTCTAGTCCCGCCTTAGGCATGAAAATGGCTGGGTGACTTTGGGCCAGTCAGAGGGAGATGGTGAGTTCTAGTCCCGCCTTAGGCATGAAAATGGCTGGGTGACTTTGGGCCAGTCACAGGGAGATGGTGAGTTCTAGTCCCGCCTTAGGCATGAAAATGGCTGGGTGACTTTGGGCCAGTCACAGGGAGATGGTGAGTTCTAGTCCCGCCTTAGGCATGAAAATGGCTGGGTGACTTTGGGCCAGTCACAGGGAGATGGTGAGTTCTAGTCCCGCCTTAGGCATGAAAATGGCGGGGTGACTTTGGGCCAGTCACAGGGAGATGGTGAGTTCTAGTCCCGCCTTAGGCATGAAAATGGCTGGGTGACTTTGGGCCAGTCACAGGGAGATGGTGAGTTCTAGTCCCGCCTTAGGCATGAAAATGGCTGGGTGACTTTGGGCCAGTCACAGGGGATGGTGAGTTCTAGTCCCGCCTTAGGCATGAAAATGGCTGGGTGACTTTGGGCCAGTCAGAGGGAGATGGTGAGTTCTAGTCCCGCCTTAGGCATGAAAATGGCTGGGTGACTTTGGGCCAGTCACAGGGAGATGGTGAGTTCTAGTCCCGCCTTAGGCATGAAAATGGCTGGGTGACTTTGGGCCAGTCACAGGGAGATGGTGAGTTCTAGTCCCGCCTTAGGCATGAAAATGGCTGGGTGACTTTGGGCCAGTCACAGGGAGATGGTGAGTTCTAGTCCCGCCTTAGGCATGAAAATGGCTGGGTGACTTTGGGCCAGTCACAGGGAGATGGTGAGTTCTAGTCCCGCCTTAGGCATGAAAATGGCTGGGTGACTTTGGGCCAGTCACAGGGAGATGGTGAGTTCTAGTCCCGCCTTAGGCATGAAAATGGCTGGGTGACTTTGGGCCAGTCAGAGGGAGATGGTGAGTTCTAGTCCCGCCTTAGGCATGAAAATGGCTGGGTGACTTTGGGCCAGTCACAGGGAGATGGTGAGTTCTAGTCCCGCCTTAGGCATGAAAATGGCGGGGTGACTTTGGGCCAGTCACGGGAGATGGTGAGTTCTAGTCCCGCCTTAGGCATGAAAATGGCTGGGTGACTTTGGGCCAGTCACAGGGAGATGGTGAGTTCTAGTCCCGCCTTAGGCATGAAAATGGCTGGGTGACTTTGGGCCAGTCACAGGGAGATGGTGAGTTCTAGTCCCGCCTTAAGTATGAAAACTGGCTGGGTGGGCCAAATCAACAGTGATGGTGAGTTCTAGTCCTGCCTTAGGCATGAAAATGGCTGGGTGACTTTGGGCCAGTCACAGGGAGATGGTGAGTTCTAATCCCGCCTTAGGCATGAAAATGGCTGGGTGACTTTGGGCCAGTCACAGGGAGATGGTGAGTTCTAGTCCCGCCTTAGGCATGAAAATGGCGGGGTGACTTTGGGCCAGTCACAGGGAGATGGAGTGTTCTAGTCCCGCCTTAGGCATGAAAATGGCTGGGTGACTTTGGGCCAGTCAGAGGGAGATGGTGAGTTCTAGTCCCGCCTTAGGCATGAAAATGGCTGGGTGACTTTGGGCCAGTCACAGGGAGATGGTGAGTTCTAGTCCCGCCTTAGGCATGAAAATGGCTGGGTGACTTTGGGCCAGTCACAGGGAGATGGTGAGTTCTAGTCCCGCCTTAAGTATGAAAACTGGCTGGGTGGGCCAAATCAACAGTGATGGTGAGTTCTAGTCCTGCCTTAGGCATGAAAATGGCCGGGTGACTTTGGGCCAGTCACAGGGAGATGGTGAGTTCTAGTCCCGCTTTAGGCATGAAAATGGCGGGGTGACTTTGGGCCAGTCACAGGGAGATGGTGAGTTCTAGTCCCGCCTTAGGCATGAAAATGGCTGGGTGACTTTGGGCCAGTCACAGGGAGATGGTGAGTTCTAGTCCCGCCTTAGGCATGAAAACTGGCTGGGTGACTTTGGGCCAGTCACAGGGAGATGGTGAGTTCTAGTCCGCCTTAAGTATGAAAACTGGCTGGGTGGCCAAATCAACAGTGATGGTGAGTTCTAGTCCTGCCTTAGGCATGAAAATGGCTGGGTGACTTTGGGCCAGTCACAGGGAGATGGTGAGTTCTAGTCCCGCCTTAGGCATGAAAATGGCTGGGTGACTTTGGGCCAGTCACAGGGAGATGGTGAGTTCTAGTCCCGCCTTAGGCATGAAAATGGCTGGGTGACTTTGGGCCAGTCACAGGGAGATGGTGAGTTCTAGTCCCGCCTTAGGCATGAAAACTGGCTGGGTGGGCCAATCACCAGGACATGGTGAGTTCTAGCCCTACTTTAGGCATGAAAGCCGGCTGGGTGACTTTGGACTACTCAGCCCAACTCACCGCAGGGTTGTTGTGGGGGGGAAATAGGAGGAAAGTATGTTGGATATGCCAGTTATTTGTGAAAAAAATAAAGCTGGGATGCAAAAACAAACGGGGTGCCTCATGTGGGGGGGCCCCCCAGCCAGCCCTGTCTTAAGCAGGAGCGTTGAGTCTGCCTCTGTCTCCTTTTCCCTTTTCCCTGCTGATGGCTCCCCTGTTGCCTTTTCCCAGGTGAAGGCGAGGCAGGGCTTAGAGAGGAGGAGGAGGACAGCACAGAGCAGGAAGGATTGCTTGCATTCCTGTTCGGAGACTGCGACCAGCTGCCCGGCGTGGAGGAAGGAAGGAGTGAGAAGCTTAGCTTAGATGCCCCGAGAGAGCACAAAGAGCAGGACGAATCCAGGACGGCTTGTTTCTCTTCCAACTGAGGGGTGGGAGGTGGGGGGCGCACGGCCAAGCCTACCTACCTTGGGCTGTTTTCTTGTGATGGGGTATCTGTACCACGGCCTTCGGTGGCACAGGAAGGGGCCCATCCAGCCCCCTGCTTAATAGGGATACTTTTGACACTGGGAGTTTATCCTCTTTCAAAGCAGCCTCCCTCACGTGTTGTGGCCTCCCAAGTCTTCCTGAACCCCAGTTATGCCTCACCATTCCCTTGCATCTGCCTGGTCATCCTCTGATCCCCGTTTTCCATCTTTTACCTGCACACTCTCTTGGCCCGGCAACCCCTGTCTTTTTTCCGGGAAAGGTAAGGGCACGACGGCCTCCTTGGTATGGTTGACAAAGGGAGAAGACCAATCTTCAACCCTGTTTCAACATAGTGGGAACCCAGGACCGGGAGAGCGGCTGTAAAGTAACCCCGAAACTCAGAAACGCTCCCCTTGCATAGCCAGCGAGGAGAAAATGCAGAATCTACACGGGTTTTTGGTTTTTGTTATTGTTGTTGTTCAGTTTTCTAAGGAGGCCCTTTAAAACCTCCTGTTTGAAAGGGCTGCCAAGCAGCTCCGTTAGTTGGGTGGGCTTCATTAGGGTGGGAATGAGGTGGCCTGGGACAGCAACGACCGTCTCACTTCTTTCTCCCCTCCTACGCCACCTTCTTTTACTCTAGGTTGTACCCTTCCCAACCAGTGGGCCACCGACCAAACATCATCCATTTGGCCAGCTTGGTTAGAGGAAGCTGAGTTTGGGGCGGGTGCCTTGTCAGGTTCCTAGCTGGCCAGGTTTCACCAGGAGCAACCTCCTTGCTGCTTCTTAACTGGGCACCAGAAGATGTTAGAAGTTAAGCAAGGAAGAGGCAAGATGGTTAGATTGCCTTATCTGCCCAAGGGGGGCATCACAACACCCTTTTCCCCAACCTGGTTGCCCTCTGGATCTCTCAGAATTGAGGGTTGCATTCTAATCTGGTATTTCTCAACCTTGGCAACTTTAGGATAGGTGGACTTCAACTCCAAGAATTCTGGGAGTTGAAGTCCACTTATCCTAAAGTTGCCAAGGTTGAGAAACATTGCTCCAAATCAGGGGTCCTCAAACTTGGCAGCTTTAAGACTTGTGGACTTCAACTCCCAGAATTCTCCATAGCTGGCTGGAGAATTCTGGGAGTTGAAGTCCACAAGTCTTAAAGCTGCCAAGTTTGAAGGCCTCTGCTCTAAATCTTATGGCAGACACTTATTATTATTATTATTATTTTAAAAGGGCTGTATTTCAGACCTGTTTCCCCAACTCGCCTCTGGATCTTACAAAGGCTGCAGCAGCACAGTTTCTGCCTCCCTCAGCCTGCCTGTTGCAGGGAGGCGAGTGCGGTTCCCTTTGTGGGCCCAACAAATGATTGTGGCAGCATTAATCGCTGCTATTATCCTCTGCTTATGCAGACAGCCTCTGTTCAAAGCCGGTTGGGAACTGTCAGTCAGTGGGCTTGATGCGCAATTACGGGGAAGATGGTTTTTGCAAGCCTCTCTTGCTTGCTTGAATGCCTCTTCCGCCGTCTCTCCTGGGTAACGCAAGCTCTTAAAAGTTCTCCCATCCCACCTACACAACCACACACCTCTTATCTATTGTGTCCCTGTTTTGTTAAGGATTTTTTTTTTTTTTGAGAAAAGCTATTCTTTTTACAACCTTTCCTGACCTGGTAAAGTCAGCTTTGTTTCGAAGAGCAAAATAAATGTCTTTTCTCTTTTCTTAATTTTTTTTTTTAAAAAAAACCTGCCTTTCATTTTATAAGCTTTTTCAGTTGAGTACAGATCAATTATCTTGCAAACTCTTCCCAGAGAAAGCAGGGGTGGGATTTTATATTAGATGACAGTACCTTGTTCCCTATCCAGAAGCTTAGTTTGAGTAACAAAGGACTTAAAAACACACCTTTTCTTTTTTCTTTTTTTGGCAGCCTAATGGAGGCTAGAAGAAATGACGGGCTAAACCCCAAAACATTTTGTTCTCCATTTTAAAAAGAAACTGCAAGTACAGAAAGGGAAGAAATCTCTATCCTAAACTGTAGAAAGATGTCGGTAGATCGTTCTAAAGTCGATCTACCTAAAGCATCTTCATCTAGTTATTGGGATATCTGTGGAGATTCTCGGTCACCTTGTCCCAAAGGTGCTTTTTCAAAAGGCAACTGGACTCGTTTTTCCTTTCAGAACTGAAGAAACTTCTTGAATCAGAAACGAAACATCTTCAAGGAAAAACGAAGTCCCGTTGCCTTTTGAAACAGCACCTTTGGGATAGTTATCAGGAGCATTTTTTAAACTGTACTAATCCGGACAATTCTGCATTGGTATCCTAAGATCCCATTTCCATAAGAGCACAGGCAGAGTGGGACAGATTTAAACGAAAGTGATCCAACTAGGGAAAATACGACAGGGAAATCAAAGGAATAGGGTATATGTCCCTGGAAGCCAAGGGGAGATTACAATCTTTACCAGATCCTTGATGGGTGGAATCAAGGAAAGGCAGGACAAGATCTGAGGAGTGTAAAGAAACCCCCATTTCACTCATCCAAGCATCAAAGAACGATGAGCTCTTAACCTCCAAGAAAGACTGGATGAGAACAGCTGAAATGCTTTGGTCCATTGAATGAGCTGCTGCAAATTTTGCAGGCCACGGTCTGCAATCTGTCAGGCGCAAAGAATCAGGACACCAACACATTAAGTTGCAATTAAGGTCCTTTATTGCTCAGGCCTATGCATAAAGAGTTTTGACAACTTTCAACATAAAATTGGTGCTAGAGAAGAGTTAACGGAATTCAAACGGGGTTCAAGCTAGACCCTTTATGAGTACATAAGGACTCCACGTTGATTCCTCTCTTGACTCCAACCCAGGTTGTCTGTCCTCCTACACCAGGGGTGTCAAACTCGATTTCATTGAGGACCGCATCAGGGTTGTGTTTTGACCTCGGCGGGGGGCTGAGGTGGAGGAGTTAGGGTGGGTGTGGTCAGCTTGACGTCACTCCTGTCGGGGGCACCTGTGGTGGCCAGTGAAAATGGGCTCCCGAGCTCTGTTTTTGGCCGCAGGGGTGGGTTTCAGCAGGTTCTGACCAGTTCTGGAGAACCAGTAGCGGAAATTTTGAGTAGTTCGGGGAATCGGTAAATACCACCTCTGACTGGCCCTGTCCCCATCTATTCTCTGCCTCCTGAGTCCCAGCTGATTGGGAGGAAATGGGGATTTTGCAGTATCCTTCCCCTGCCACGCCCACCAAGCCGTGCCATGCCCACCAAGCCACACCCACAGAACTGGTAGTAAAAAAATTTGAAACCCACCACTGTGCCATGACCTCCTGCAACCCTCTGCCAGTGAAAACGGAGCTCGGGAGGGCCGCGTGCATTTTCACTGGCAGAGGGTTGCAGGAGGCCTTGGCAGCCAAAAATGGAGCTCAGGAGCCCGAGCCCGATGCAGAAGCATAGCGGGCCGGTCCTTCGCTGTTTCCAGGGCGGCCCCACAGGCCAGATCTAAGTACTCCGGGGTCTGGATCCGGCCTCCGGGCCTTGAGTTCGACACCCCTGCCCTACACAGTCTGAATTATGATACTACTTTAAAACAGGGTCTGTTGTGTGGGAAGTGGGCAGGGGTTGGACTAGAAGATCTCCAGTGTCCCTTACAAAAAGCAGTAGGAGACAGCTTTCTACTTGGAAAGATACATTCTCTTCCCAACCGGAGCCCTCGTTTTTTTTTAATAGGAAAGTTTGAACAAAGGGCTCCATTTTTTTACCTGTTAGATTTCCAGCTTCTCCATTTTTTCTCATGGCGCAGAAATCTCCCAGCCCACACAGCCTTAAAAAGAGACTTAGAAAGAAGAATTAAATGGTGAAGGTCAGTGGACCACAAAACTCTCTCCATTCTTCCTCCCTCCTTAACTGGGGCAGAGTTTTATCAAATAAACAGCAGTTCCAAAACTGCTTGTCCTTCACCAGTGCAAAATAGTATTGCTCTCTACTAGAACAATACAGAACCTGCCAATGTCTCTCCTTTCGTGATTTTTTTTTTTAAAGTAGCTTAGCTGTGACTTGGTCACCGGGGTAATCATTTGGAGCTCAAGGAGCACAGCAGCTCTCATCCCGCGAAGACCCTTAACAAAAATTGCTGAGCACATTGTAAGCCGCCCTGAGTCTTCGGAGAAGGGCGGCATATAAATCAAATTTAAAAAAAAAAAATGGAGATGGTTTGAAGCAGGGGTCTCCAACCTTGGCAACTTTAAGCCTAGAGGGCTTCAACTCCCAGAAAAGCTGGCTGGGGAATTCTGGGAGCTGAAGCCCTCTAGACTTAAAGTTGCCAAGGTTGGAGACCCCTGGTTTGAAGGATAAATATTGCTAGAAGAAAATAGATGGTGCCATTGGTTTCCTCTTGCCCTGCAAGAGAGATCCAGGAGTTTAGCTGGAGAGAGGTTGCAGAAATTTGGGGGAAAGGTTAACCCAGTGAACATCAGACTAAAACAGATCTCAAAAAGACCGTCTTATGACTTGTGTTAACACCTCCTACTAGATTATCAGTCGAAATAAACCACATGCTTGACTGAGTTCTCACATCATCTTAAAACTATAACCGTTCTCTTCCTTTTTCGACTTTATAAATGTTTAAAAAGTTGCTTTCCATAAAAACTTAAAGGTAAGTGGCATGATTCAGAGTACCAGCCTAGAACACCACTCTACTTCACAAAATCTTGGAAGAGTTTTAGGAAAAAAAAAAAAAAAAGCATCTTATTTGAAAACGTGTGCCCATCTACTCAGGAATATGTACAGTGCATTCAGAAAGTATTCAGACCCCCTTCACTTCTGTCAGTTTTGTTCTGCAGTCTGATTTTACAGTTGTTGAAATTCTTTTTTTCCCCCCTCATTAATCTACACAGTACCCAATAATGACAAAAGTGAAAAGAGCATTTTAGAAATGTCTATAAATTTATTAAAAAGAAAAAAAAAACCAACCCTGAAATATCACATTGGCATAAGTATTCAGACCCTTTGCAACAACACAGGGAATTTAGCTCTGGTGCCTCCCATTTCTCTTGATAGTTGCTGAGATGTTTCTACACCTTGATCGGAGTCCAACTGAGATAAATTAAATACGATTGGGCATGATTTGGAAAGGCACATGCCTCTCTATAGAACAGGGGTCTACAACCTTGGCAACTTTAAGCCTGGCGGACTTCAACTCCCAGTATTGAAGCAAAGCTGGCTGGGGAATTCTGGGACTTGAAGTCCTCCAGGCTGCTTAAAGTTGCCAAGGTTGGAGACCCCCTGCTATAGAAGGCCTCACAGCTGACAATGCATACTGTAGCAGAGCAAAAGCCATGAGGTCAAAGGAACTGCTTGCAGAGCTCAGAGACAGGATTATTGCAAGGCACAGATCTGGGGAAGGCTACAGTAAAATTTCTGCTGCACTGAAGGTTCCTAAGAGCACAGTGGCCTCCATAATTCTCAAATGGAAGAACTTTGGCCCAACCAGGACTCTTCAACCAAGAGCTGGTTGCCTGGTCAAGCTGAGCAATCAGGGGAGAAGGGCTTGGTAAGAGAGGTGACCGAGAACCTGATGGGTCACTCCCGATTCCGCTCCAGAGATCCTGTGTGGAGATGGGACAGAGTTCCAGAAGGACAATTTATCACTGCAACTGTCCACCGATCTGGGCTTTCTGTCAGAGTGGTTAGACGGAAGCTTCTCCTCAGTGCAAAACACGTGAAAGGCCGCTTGGAGTTTGCAGAAAAGCACCCGAAGGACTCTCAGATTGTGAGGAACGAGATTCTCTGGTCTGATTAAAACCAAGAATTGAACTGTTTTGGCCTCAATTCTAAACGTTATGTCCGGAGGAAACCAGGCACCGCTCATCCCCTGCCCAATATTATCCCAACAGTGAAGCATGGTGGCAGCATCATGGTTGTGGGGGTGTTTTTCAGCAGCAGGGACGGGGGGATTGGTCAGGGTCGAGGGAAAGCTAAATGGAGCAAAGTACAGGAATATGAACCAGTGGTGAAATCTGAACCAGTTTGCTACCGGTTCGCTGGCCGCGCCTAGCACGCGCTGTGCAGTTCGCACCGAATGTGCGCAGTACACGCCAAAAGGAGGCTTGGGAAGGTAAGTAAAACAGTGAGGGGGGAATCAGCTGTGGCGCGCGATCTTGGGAACCTTTTTAAAAACTTTTTAAAAGAATTTTTTACTACCGGTTCGGGCGAATAGGTAGTAAAAAATGCTTTAAAAAAGTAAAAAAAAAGATTCCGACGATCGCATGGCACAGCTGTGATCTTGGGAACCTTTTTTTTTTTTTTTTAGCCTTTTTAAAGCATTTTTTTACTACCGGTTCAGTGAATAGGTAGTAAAAAAAAATGCTTTAAAAAAGTTTATTAAAAAAAGGCTCAGATGATCACAGCTGTGCTGCGCGATCATCTGAGCCTTTTTAAAAAAAAATTTAAAGCATTTTTCTACTACCTATTCGCCCGAACGGGTAGTAAAAAAATGCTTAAAAAGTAAAAAAAAAAAATTTTTTTAAAAAAGTTCCAACGATTGTGCGTTGCTCAGTTGATCGTTGGAACTTTTTTATATATTTTTTTTACTAGCGGTTCGGCGAACCAGTAGCATTTTTTACTACCAGTTCAAGCGAACCGGCCTGAACCGGTAGCATTTCCCCCCCAATATGAGCCTGTTCCACAGCCCTCAGGACCTCAGATTGGGCCAAATCTAATATGACAACGATCCTAAA